GTCAATAAGATGCCTTATGATTATTGGCCTGAAAATACTATGTCAAATTTATTGTTTCAAAACAAAACTCCAGAGCCTGTTATTTAAGAACTTGACTTCTGGCTTATCTTGAATAAAAGTCAAATAACAACTTCTCACTTACTTACTTTCTGTTGAGTGAAGGCATTCAAAAGTAGCCCACACGCAAATAGCAATCAGAGGTTGGTAAGGTTTTCAATTACAGACACGCTAATGGCGGTTTTGATTCTTTTGCATGCGCTAATATCAATTAATCACTAAAAAGGATAGACAAATTGCAGAGACGTTAGTTGTCCCACTGGAGGAGTTGAACCCTCCATCCACAGCACGACATCAATGCCTCTCAATGTGCTACACCCACAGGCACTTTTTTTTGAATAATTTCTTCAATTCGTGTTTGTTGAGATCTCCTATAGCTGAGCTAGAAGGTACCTCAGAAGTGCTAGGTAATTACTGAAACTGCAATATGCAATAAAATTCTTTAGGAAAGTTGAAAAACCATTGAAGGAAGATTCAGATTTGGAAATAAAGATACTAAGTTTTGGTTTGCTGATGATTCGAAGGAAATACGCTAAAATCTATAAAAACTTTCCAAGGCATTCCTCAGCTGTTGAAATTCAAAAACAAAGAAGCAACAGGGTTTAGAACTACTTAGAAATACACAAAAATTTTTGACACTTAATTATTACCATAATAACAGGACACGATCCCAACCACTATCATATCCAACATTCATATCCTTGAATCCGACCAGTTCTCGTTCGCCCTTCTGAAAAGTCGAAGAACATTGTAAATCTTGAGAGAAACATACGCTACGGAACTTTATTGTGATATTTGGGCGTTTTAGACGAGTGGTAACCCATAGCAGCTTAATTAATCCATTACATTAACAAATGTGGGCAGTAGTGAAAAAAACTCGACACACTGATGACTGGAACAAGTAGTACAAAATGAAATTAATAGTTTAACGAGACCAATACGATTCCAGTCCACTAAGCTTTGTGTTTCTTGGCACCACAATTGAATCTCAAAGAGGGGAACTTCTTCAAGCTGTACTATTCCTTGTTTCTTTCCCAGATTCCTGTTTTTGTTCTTCACTACTGTGTTAATTTTGTTGGCGTAGCGAG